TATGATTTATTGTGCTTTATCATTAATTTTTTGTGTTCCCTAGAATAAACTCTAGGTAGAATAACAGATAATAAATATGGCTTGCAGTTTGTGTGATGTAAAAATGTACTTGTAAACTAGCAAGAGTCAACTAATCCGTAAATGAGGTGTAATCTCCTGATATTATAATCCTAAATCTCAGGGGCCCCTGCAGAGACTCCATCTCTAGAGCCTGCGCCTACACACAAAGGTGACCGGGACGTCCCTTCGAACACAGTGACGAAGCCACCTTGTGGGGGACCAGTTCAGGAGGAACTGCTCAGCCTCCCTGTCCTGTAGTTGCTGAAAACCTGCCAGTGACCTCAGTTCCAGGCAATACACAGTCAGTTTGACAACGAATGCGAGGCCACCGGTTATCCTCCTCTCCGTCCACTGGAAATGGAGATGACACAAAGGATCCGAGGGACCTCAGAGCGGACTTCCGCATGGGGAATGGAGAAAACAAATTTCAATTTTATGTGTCAATCGTTCAACCGTTTGCCACACTGGAGGTGAATGCGTAGCTTTCACGTTTGTAAACAAATGCTGAAAAATAAAATGGTCTTTGATTTATGCCAGGTGTTCCGCAGAATTTTAGACTTCAGGTTTCTGTGTTAAATACCTGAAATAAAGAGCAATGGGACAGGGTGAGAGATGAGGCACCAGGGACAGCAGGGAGCACAGGCCACCGAGGGACGTGGGGACAGAGGACAACAGGGACACACAGGCAGAGCGGTGCCGAGTAGATCCCAAACCAGAACACGGAAGTGTGATTCGGGAACACCCGAGACTGGCCTTGTCAGAACACGCACTGGCCGGCGTTTCAGGCTAACGGGATTGGATGTCACCATAAAGACCGAAATGTGTGCATTACACGGGAAGGTAATAATCGGGGATATTACAGGTGGGCCTGTGGTTCGAAAGACCAGGTAGTTACTGTTGGCACTTTGGGGTTCATCTTCCCTAACATTTGTCAAATATTAAACATCTCATGAAATCATGCAGCTTTGTTATTACCAACAGCTCTTTCTTATCGAATAAGTGACTGAAATGGCATTTTTTTCTCTTTAAAATAATACGTAATACTCGCGGGGCATCTGGATAATTCGCTGGTGGCAACGTAACTCACCATCGCGGAATCTGAATCTGATGCCGCCCCTGATCTGACGGGGGCGGAGCTCAGGCGGTGATGCGAGCCACGGGGAGCGGCTGCAAATGCAGAGGAAGCTTCGCTCGCCCACCTGCTGCTCACCTCCTGCTGTGCAGCCCAGTTCCTAACAGGCCGTGGTACAGTTCTAGAAGAATATCAGTTTCCCCCACAAATTATGGTGGCGTCTATAAGGAACAATCAGTGTGCTCACACACTCATTTTAGAACGAATTCCTCAGTTGCTTGTTGTGCTTAAAGGCAGCTTAACGGCTTCTCCTCCTACAGGGGGATAATTGGCGCCCACGAACCACAGTCTATTTTCTCATGAATTCAATTTGCATAAAATTCAGTGGTTTTGTGATGGTAGAGAAGAATGAGCAGATTTAACATATCCTCTTTTGAAAAATAGTATTTAGCACACATGGCAACAGGAAGGAGAAAAACAGTGAAGCTTTGGGAAAAATAAAATGTTTTTACTTTCTATGGCTGAAGCACTTAAAATTATTATATTTTTAAGATTTTCCACATTAAATATTTTCCTTTCCTGGGGTGGGGGTGTTTTTGTTTTATAATGAAGAAAAGAAAGAAAGAAGGAGGGAAAGAGGGAAGGAAGGAAGGAAGGAAAGAAGGAAGGAAGGGAGGGAGGGAGAGAAGGAAGGAAGGAAGAAATCTCAACTTCTGCAAATACCAGATTGCAAAAACCAAAAGAAAAGGAACTCACTAAAATGCTTAATATGCCACAATCTCACAAGTATTATGAAAATCTAAGTAACAATAAGCCCATAATACCACAAAGCAAGGTAACACAGAGAATTTTCTCTATTTTATCTTTCTTAAAGGAATCCTTTGTTTGGATCTGGAAAAACAACCATTATCCACATCTCTCGATCTTGAGCAATATTCACATTAAGTGTTTAAACTGTAAGTGCTTTAAGTGACAGCCATAGGAATCGTGTAGTCATTTTCCTAATATTTTCAGACTAATATCTAGTTCGTTGATAAATACCTTCATTCAATCATCCATTTTCCAGTTCTCGACTTAGAAACAGAGTGCATGAACTTGGTTTTATTTCACGAAGTTCTTTATAAGTCATTTTAACTTCAAGACAGCTATGTCGAGAGTAATATTTCTGACCTTTACATGCTCATAAATAAATGACAAAGTTTGAGAATAGGGTGTACAACGCAGACATCATTGAAAATGACAAGAATTGTCTGCATGATTTATGCATCTCCGTGTACGTTATTAATTATAATCTCGGCTTATAAATCTCAAGTAGAACCCAGAATGTTTATATATAACTTACCTATCAGAGTTAAGTGTCATTTTACCAATTTATCAACTTTATAAAATGACAAACACCTTCAAATGATCTAATTAAGTATCATCCTTGTCAGATATGATACACTACAAGAAAATAGAACAGCTCAAATTCATGTTCTCATTCCTTTTTATTTATTTTTATATCTCTGTTATAGAAAATTAGTTGCCTATAATAAAAAATGTATTGTTTATGGATTTTTTAAAATGTGGATGCGTAGAGTCAGGCATCAAGCAAATAAAGCATTTGCTCACCTGACCAGAGGTTTGACCTAGCTGGGGACGCACAAATTCTAATGCTTGAAGGCCCAGCAAGCAACCCCGGTGAGCAGAGCCAGCAAGTGGCCACAGGAGGTTGCTGTCCTCCCACTCTGGAGGGGACCGTCCCACCAGTGGATGCAGGCCCAAAGTTTCCAGATTCTGATATCACAAGAGAAAGTGGGATGTATTGGTATCTCACAAATTATCTGACATCTAATTCTAAATATCGACAATTCATTTTTAAAATATTAAATATTTTGCCAGCTAATCACAACCACCATATGACGTCTGCCCTAGACGATTCCTACATAGAGTTTTCGCAGGTTTGTTTGTTTGTAGACCATTCCTTTTAGACTGAAATCATCGGTGGCTTTGGAACCACATAGGCATGACCTTAGTAACCCTACCTGGAAACTGTCAAGAGAAAAACGCACAAAAAAGCATTGGTTTCTACACTACAGAGGTTAGAAATTATGAAAGATAACCTATACTTTCAAAACTACTTGGCAAACACTGCTACCATAGGAATCTATCCTTGAGTTTCTGTAGTGTCAGTAAGGAAAGAGGAGGTAAGTGTTGAATACAGTACCGCGAATACTGAAGACAGGGAAGGCCCAGCAGAGCTCAGCGTCAACCAAGGTAGACCAACTACCTGGCAGCTCATGGTTGGAGGTGTGCAATCATGTTATAGTTTTCTCATTGGCTCAGATGCTAAGATCAAGCTAGTTTTAAAATGAAAATAACCACGTAACAGCCAAGGTTACCATGATGGTCATGGGTGGAATGTTCGTGTTTCAGTAGAAGAAGCTCCAGTGGGACAGAGGAGGCCCAGGGACCAGATGCGCAGGTGTGAGAGGCCACAGCACTCACAGCCCGGGTCACTCAAGCGTGAGGTCTGGAAAGGGCGACGCAGTGAGAGGAAGCTGTGTCGGAACTGAAACCCTAAGAATGCGTGTTCTTAACATGGGAGGCCAATGACTTCAGAGTCGAGGGTCATCACCTTGTCTGCTCCTCTGAGCTCCCCTGTGGCACTGACAACCCCTGCTCTAGCCAACGCCAGCGGGCCGGACACCGGCTCAAGGTCACGTTCTCGGTGCAAACCTGCTCTGTGAGCAAGGCTGCCACAGAGCGGATTTCCCCTCTCCCGTGTCCCCTCAGACTTTCGCAAATACCTCAGTTACACAAAGTCTCCTACTGGATTTTAACTTGTAATCAAAAATACAGTTTTCTTATTAAATTGTGCCACTGTCTGGTACAGCACCCAGGTCTCCTTCTAATTCCCTCACCTTAGCCCAGAAACAGAGTGTGTAGGTAAGAATGGGTGAGAGAAGCGAGGGACAGGCGTGGAAACTGAGAAGGTCGACATAGACAAGCCTTCTGGAAATCGGTAGAAAGTAGACACTGGAGGAAGATAAGAGGTCAAAGGTGCATTACAAATTATAGCTAAATAGGTGTGTGCACGTGTGTGTGTGAGAGAGAGGGAGGGGAGGAGGGAGCGAAAGAGACTGAGATGCTAGTGGGAAAGGTCTTGCAGGGAGGTGGTAGCTGCGAATGCAGAAGTGGAAGATATTCCCGACCTGATGTTTCTGAAAGGGTAGAAGGGGAGGTACATAGGTCACCTACTGGATCACCCCTACGTAGGAGGAACGTTCTCTTCCATTGGAATGGGAGAAAGAGCAGAAAGCAGGTGCACCTGTGGGTAGATCCGCACCTGCCTTGTTGTGGGAAGCTGCTCTCCCTGTGATGTTCTTTCTCTGGCGTGTGTGTGTGTGTGTGTGTGTGTGTGTGTCTGTGTGTCTGTGTGTGTGTGTGCATACGTGTGCGTGTACGTGCCTTTCAGCAGGGAGTGAAGCTGTTTGCTGCGGAGGAGAACAACAAAGATGAGAAACAATGAAAGTGGCAGCGTGTTCATGGAGGATTTCTGGCAGAGCCTACAGACAGTGCTCACTGGTCTGGCCTTTAGTGTCCTCTCTTGTTTCCTGCTACCTGGATTTCTATTTTTAATAGACCTCGGTTCTGGAAATCTATGTCTATATTTTACATTTTAGATGGGAACTTCAGTAACAATGTCTGAGTTCCACATGAAATCCAGCCTCTTTCAGTAATAAAACATTAACGCTCTGCTTCCGAGGCCGGCCTGTGAAATTAAGGAAAGCAAGCAATTTAGCCATGTTTAGGAAAATACAGGCTCTAGATGTAACATTTTGACTTCATTGGATTTAGCAATACTCGAGAAAAGGCCAGGTAAATTATTTTGTATGAAATGAAAATGCTGTGCTTTTTCACATGTCAAAAATGCTTCGATCGTAGTTGATTCAAACTATTTTTAATGATTGTGTATTTGGAAAGATTAACAAAAAGATAAAGTTCAGTCACTATTTTTTTTTTTTTTTTTTGTCTTTTTCTGGCATGGTTTGCACATGCCTTGAACAGTGCATGTAGTGTCATCCTGTGCGGAGACAAGGCACAAATACATGAGAGACAGCGCCAGACCCACTTCCATTCTGGATTGACTTCCTGCATGATGGGACACCCTGTGTCCTGAAGGGACATGAGCCAAGAGGGACACAGTGAGCACTGACGAGGCTGTGTGGTGATGACACTCTGTGGCTGGACAGGTCCAGGCCGACGGCCCGAGGAGGGTGTGTGGGGAGCGGGGGCAGGGTGGGCAACTCGGACAACAGCCCGATCTCACCCCGTGCGTCTGTTCCCTTCCTGTGTGATCAAGAACTGCAAAGGCCCCACTACTAACCAGAAACCAACTAAATCCCACTAAAAATGCTCCCAACTGTGCACGTTTTTAACCAGTTGGGGAGATTTACATTTAAACCCAATTTAAATGTAAGAAGCATGTTTAGATTTTTTATTATTATTCCTTACCTTGGTAAGCAAGTTTAAACCCTTGCCGGTTTTGCGAGTGGTCGCTGTAAAAGCGGATGAGCGTCTCGTGCGTGGTGCTGAGCAGAGCGGCGGGCAGGTCCGAGCCGCTGAACTGGCCGATCATGGGGCTGTGGTGGTAAGGCCCGTTCTGAATCTCCAGGTAGTCATGGTTGGCTTCAGTAGAGAAATTCAGGAACTGGATATGGGCACCTACGAAAAACACACAAAAGTCATGAAAGTTCATGTCAAAATGTATAAAATCAATGCTTATATTAATAAAAAGTACTGAAAACTTTATCAGTCTTCCAAACAATCTCTCTCCATGAAAAAGAACGGCTTAGTGGAGGAAAACGGCATTTTGGACGACAACAGACCTCGGTCCAATCTCACCTCCGCCACTGCGCACTGTGTGATCTCTGTCCACAGAATAAGTGTCCATAAATCAATTTATTTGTGAAATACGAACATTACCAGAATCATAACACGGAGACAGACGAGGACGGTGCGTAGAATGGGGATTAGTACACTATCTGTGGGAACGATGTTGTCCAGTTGCTGTTACAATTATTACAACCACAAATACAAGGTTGTATTGTCGTGTCATCCACAAGTTCATTTATACCTTTGCCAAAAAAGAAGCCAATTTTAGTAAAAACAAAACAAAACAAAATACAAAAAACTTTGAAAGTGGCTTTTACCTTAACCGGATGGTCATACCATTGCACAAGAGATTTATCAGTTTAGCAAGTGATTGTTTTTAATTGTATTAGGCACACAAAGCAAATTACTGATGTTTGTAAAAAACCCAATCCAATAAACACCACTATAACTCTCACAATTAAATCTAACAGCCTGGCGCTGTTCAACATACCAAAAGACCGTTCCAACGACCAATATCTTTGGTATCACATTGATCTATGTACAAAATAAGCTATGGCTAATAACTTTAGAAAATAAAAATAAAAATAATTTAGAATTATTTGCTGTGGTATTATGGCATTTTTGAAAATTTGACTACTGTGTCTGAAATATTTTAGTGCCTTTAAATAGTTTATAAAGAGCTCCAAAGACATTATTAGTCTTTGCATAAATCCACACAGTTAAGCGGGGCAGTAAAACCTAAACTGAGAATACTAATGGCTATTTTCTCCCAATATAGGAGACAAACTTTGCTTTGCATTGCTCTTCTCCTGTTTTTGATAGATGAGAAGACTTTTATTTTTCTTTTTCATGCATTATATTATGTTTCCTAGATTGGGAAAATTAAAGGTGACACATGGGTTATCCTACTTTAGTGTCAATGCAGAGAAATTTTCACACAAATGTATCTGCTCAGGTGTCAAGGGAAAATACAGTTATCAAAGGCCAGAATTCAGTAAGAGAAGAAGAGAAAAAGCTCAAGTAAAAAGTTGTAGGGAAGAAAAACCTAAAAGTATTCAATAAAATTTACGGTCATATAAGAAAACCAATTTCGTTAATTATGGCGTCAACTTCGTGAGGGAGAATGCCTTTTCCAGTTTAGCCTGCAAATAGGCGAGACAAGAGCCAACAACCTCATTCTCTTAAAAATATATCCCGCTGTTTACCGGAGAAAATCAGTTTGTATTGTTTGTTCAACCTACATTGAATAAAAGGAAGTAGGATGTAGAAAACTTCAGGAGAAGGGGAAAAAAGGCAGATCTTTAACAAATCAATCAAAATGAGAAATTCTTTCTAGAGTGAGTATTTAGATTCTATTACAGAGAGTCCGAGTCTACATACCAGAAACACATGACCTGTCAAGCAGGGGACACCCCAGTCTGTGGCTGTCTCGGCCATTCAAGCAGTACCCACTGTATACAACCAAGGTGGGGCAGCTCTTTAAACTGAAAACACCTCTGTAAATATTTGAACATGTCAAATATTGCTCTTTGTTGAACAGCCATCAACGAGCTATTTTTTTTTTCTAAATTCAGCAGATATTTGTGGTCAAAAGAAATTCAGAAGCAGGAAAAAAAAAAGAAAGAAAGAAAAAGGGAGGGAGGGAGGAAGGGAAGGATGGGGGGAAGAAGGAGACGAGGAAGGCCAGTGACTCCCCGTGTCCCCTCCACAGAGCTGTGACAGGCGACCAGTAGACCCCTTGGTAGATCACACATCCGGATCTAACTTGTCTCCTCATCCATTGCTAAACTGAAAATACGTTTTCTTTTGTGGCATGGCCCACAAATATAACAAAAATGAGTTCTGTCACTAATAAATAAACTAAAGCACGTGTGTGACCACTTTGGGCCTCTAAATCCATGTGTGCTACAGAGTTTCATAAATATCCTTACATTCCTGAGAGACGCAAGAATCCCACACAGCAGTAATCAAAACCACCTGCTGAATTACTGACATTTCTATTTATGTCCGAAAAGTACCAGATAGAAGGGAAAACAAGGGCAAGATTAGAACGTTTAAAATCAAATAGTTAGGGAAATGGCTTAAAACGTGCTCATTTTGGATGTGCACGTGCAGACTTCAGATGCATTTATCCAGAGACACGTTTTGAAATCCACGGCATGGCGCGGCCACGGAGGAGGATGAAAGACAGCAAGCGGATCAAGGCTGAGAAAAGCTGAACACGGCCCATGTCTCAAAAGCAGAGGATGGAGTGAAAGTGGCTTTTTCCTGATTTGGAATTGAACTCGAAATGGATTTATGACAATTACAATTATCGTGAACAAAATTACCATTTCAAGCAGGATAAATTATACAGGCACATATCAAACCACCTAATACACATCAAGAAATAGAACAGGGCTCAGCTCTAATCTGGCTTAAAATAGAATTATTTAGCCATCTAATTTTCGGCAAATTGCATCCCGTTTGACATCGCAAAGCCCAAATGAAGGGATTAAAATAAGCGTAACCTAGTTATCCTTTTATTATCTCATGGAATACTAAAAAAAAGTGTGTCATTACAAGGAAACCAATCTGAATGCTTATCTTCACTAGAATTGACAGAGCATGTTCTCATCTGAGTGTAGTTACATATTGAAAATTAAGTACCTTTTGAGATTGACAGAACTTTGAATAGTAATGTGACTACGACTTCAGAGTTAAACCCTCGTTTTTAGTTGATAGAACTTGTGAATATTAATTGCTGATCTGTGTTTTCTGTGTGTGATAAACATATGGCAGAAGAGTTAATAGCTACGGAATTTCGCGAACATTCTAAGGAATCTTTTATGTCATCTCTATGTTTCCAGATGGCCCAAAGGCACAGTGATTCTGGACAGCATCTTGGGTGACATGAATGCACTGGTTTCTAAATATAAAAGGTAATGACCACGCAGAGGAAGACTTGGTTTCACATCTCTCGACTGTGCCTCAGACTTTCTCAAGAAAACAGAGACAGAAATTCTGAGTTGATTAAGCTCTGTCAAAGCCACACAAAACGGCAACCCACGTCTGTGAAAGGGAGAGAAAACAGCATAAAAACATGGAGAATTCGGTTCAGCCACTGAAGACAGTTAACGCTTCCATGATGCCGTCTTTATGCCAGCCATTTGCAATGCTTCAAAATGGCCCGATGAGACTGATATTTTATCATACACGTTTTATAAATAAGGAAACGGGGTTCGAAACATTTTGGTACTTTGTGCAACCAGTCATTGACAGAATCAGCTAAGATTCCTACTCAGCTCAACCAGAGCCCAAAACTGTGGGCAAGGACAACACACACCGCCTGCTCCTGAGGCACATTTGGTCAGGGTCTCTCCGACTGTTCTGAGAGACGAGCCTCACTGTGTCGCCGAGGCAGGGAGTAGAAAGTAGCTGTCGGTGGAAGGAATAATTAGAGAAAGGAAGTGAGGCGGTTTTCACACGATCACAAAGCAGCCAATGGCGGTTGCCTGTTTAATTAAACTGTTGATGGAATCAAGGGCATGGGGCAGGGAATGGGACTAACCAAAAGAATCCTTTGGCTAAGCTGGTAGCTACTTCACTCAGGGCTTGGATAATCTCTCAGGCAGGTCCATGCCTGTCCAGCTGTAAGGGAAGATTCAAAACACCCAATAAAATCCCCCACGAATAAAAAACATCAAATATATTTTGCCTCGAGAAAAGTCAATAATGTCTCACATTCTGGATAAGTGTTTGTATTCAGGGCAATTGGAGAAGCTGAAGTCATTCGAGCTTCCAAGTACAAGAGCCACGCCCTGAGAAACCAAACTCCAAAACTGACAACCGAGGAGACAGAAATGTATGTTCAGACACTACACATAACACTTGAAGTCTAGAAATTATATTTAAGAATGCTCTGTAAGAACACTAGGGAATTTTTTTTTTTTTGTAATTCACTTTGAACTTTTGACTTGTGGTGTTGTTTTATGCTCAGTAACATTCTATTTCTACTGACAATTGGCCCAAATCTCATGATTTCTACATTTTTTACACCAAAGCAATTTATCCTAAATAAGTAATGTTTGTAAAAATCTTATGATAATCTTCGTGCATTTCTCATCTTATTTAGCATGAACGTGCTGAGAAATGTTTCCTGACGTAGCGTAACTCTCACATCCAATGAAGCGGGGTTGCTTTGTGAAAATAAGCAATTCTTTGTGTCCTCCCACTGGGCCACCGAGGTAGAGCCCTGGGACTCTACATCACTGACCTCAACTGCTGCTCTTGTACACAGCAAAATGAGAGCCATCGACCTAAGCAATCATGTTCCTTGCTCCATAGTGTTCCCAGTGTAAGTAGATAAAATTCACAGTAGATCTGACGTTCTCTGTGGGTCTTAAGTAAGCAAGTTTCCCATAACGTTTGTTTCTTGATAAAACTTCCAGTGATAATGCAAAGAAGCATTGCTGAACATTGTTTCCCAAACCTCGGGAAAGGAAGAGGGCTAGTTAAAGACCACCTTAAACACACATACACACACTCACACCCAGAAGCAGAAAATCTAGGGGAGATGTAGGGTAGTAACGGCAATGCACCATTTGCACACACACTAGGAGGAAATCTGCTGGGGTTATTGATGTAAACTTCCTATCCCATAAATGTCTTTTCTCAGCATTAAGGAGGAAATTTCTTTTGACTACCATTTTCCAACTTAATTACCAAGATCACCTTAACAACAGATGTTTTCAGACATTTTATTTTTGTGTGTGACATCAACAGAAATACCTGCCTACCAACCCCATGGCCCTCCTATCCCAGGCACTCTTTTTGGAGTTTTAATCACAGAGAATGTTCCAGAATCACCTTAAAGCCTTGGCTACGCATATGAAACAATATGCGGATCAAAAAGAAAGAAATTATAATTAAAAGATATTTGGTTATCTCTGCAGTATTCTCAATTTTTTCTTATAAGAAACTTCTGGAGTGCTTGATTTATAAATGCAGATTCCTGGGCTTCGACCCCAAAGTTACTTTCTCAAAATTTCCAAGAGAGAGACCTGATATTTGCTCATGATTTGGGAGATTCTGGGAAGACCTTGCGGCCAAAAGCAAGATCAGGTTCAGGGAAAGAAGAGGAGTGTATCGCGCTGTGGATACAAACTGGGAATCAACACAACCGAGTCTGAGACATTCGGGTGACTCAGATTAAATATTTCTCATGTAGCTCAAATGCGGTTTGGCCTTTGAGAGCGAGACTCGCGATGTGGTTTTAAGAGCCGTGTGTAGAAGGGAGACTAAGCTACAGGGTAGTGGACGTCACAGGCGGAAGAGGTAGAGATTGCGGAAGAGTCAGAACAGATAGAACTAATTGGCTTAAGAGTTTTCAACTGCAAAACTGACGTGGGGTTGAAAGCCAGGTAGGTGGTAAAATTTTCTCAGATTTTGCAAAATGCTCTAAAATGACTCAAGCCCTAGAAAGAACTCCTAGCAGGGGCATAAAAACGCCAAATGTTCACTGTGTCAGGGGACCGACCACCACTCACACGCCTTTCCTCCAAATTTCTAACTTCATATTTGGAAATATAGTTGCAGGTTATAAAATTATCACAGGAAAACCTGGTGCACTATTTAAATTTAATCAGTAAGAAATTATTCTGAAGCACACCTACATTTATTCTAAAAAGCTAGGGATAGTCATACTTCTTTGTATGCATGTAGGATTTAAGAGATAAGGTTTCTTTTTGCCTTTTATTC